GTGTGTGTGTGTGTGTGTGTGTGTGTGTGTTTGTGTGTGTGTGTGTTTAAGACTTGAGTCTCATGTACCTAAGGTCAGTCATGAACTCCTGATTCTCTTGCTAGGATTAGAGGATACACCCCCCACACCTGGTTTCATAGTGATTTTTTTCAGTTCATTATTACCCAATAATTTGAAATGCACTCAATAGTAGATGGATGTTGAAGAATTTAAATACATATAATAGAAGATTAATTTATTTTTATCTTATGGGTATGTGTGTGTGTCCAAGTGTATGCATGTGCACCACGAGCAAGCCTGGTGCCCATACTAGAGGACATTTGGTGCCTAGAAGAGAAGATTCGGATCCCCTGGTTGTAAGACGCCCAATGTGGGTGCTGGGAACCAAATCTGGGTCTTCTGCAAGAACAACAAATGCACATAACTACAGAACCATCTCTCCAGTCCCAAGGCAGAGGGATTTATTCCTATGACCAAGACCAAATGCTCTGAAGATGGAGTCTACCTTTATTCATGACCTACCAGCCTCATGGGCTTCTGCCTGGGAGCTTACAGTCTTTGGTCTAGACAGTGTGTGGCTTTCTGTAGAATCCTTTCTCTGAAATTAACACCTATGTAACACTTTTCTCCTGAGCTACTGGTAGTGGCACTGCCCTACTGGGTCCCTGATCTGAGACCTGCAGAGGATAGCCTTGTAAACTTTCCTGAAATGAAAGAAAGCCAAATGAAAAGAAAGGTGAATAGCCATGGAGAGAGACAGAAAGGGACAACAGATGCAGTGGGGCTATGGAGGACTTGTTGAGGTGAATCCTGCCCCCAGAACACACCCCAGAGAAACACACTTTCTGTCTCTACCAGGGCTCATTGCTGTGTACCCCTCCTTCCCACCAGCACGGGACCAGACTGAGGCCCTGACTGCTCCACCTGTGCCAGTGCCCTTGCCCTGTGTCTGCCCAGCTCAGCAGAGATTGCCAGGCAGTGGAGCACATGCCCCAGAATAGTGCTATGATGCTGCTGGGTGACATTCTATCGCTGGGCTACCACACTGAGTGGTGCCTCCCATCCCCAAAAGGAGAAATCTGGTGACACTGCGTGCTTGGGATTCCAGGATAGGCATAAGAATATGGCTGCGTGTGAGAAGCTACAAGCAATGCCTCTGAGTGAACCCCTTCTGGCCTGTCACTCACACTGGCCTTGGCTGCTCTATTTTTTCCTGGCTGGCTGTCACTACACAGAGAAGCTCCAGTTCCCATGACCTGAGCAGGAGGCTTTGTGCTTAGCTTGTGTCCACTTCAGCCCTAAGGGGGTCTGTTTCTTTCCAGAGAAGCTTGTGTCCCCATTGGGCATACTTCCTTGAATCCAAACTAGAGCCTCCCTCAGGATCCAGCTGCAGCCTGCTCTCACCTCTCAGGGACCTGTGGGGGTCTGAGTGGGGAGGCAAACCATGCTGGCCCAAGTAGCTGCACCAATATATTGCCTGATGCCAAGGGCTCCTCCACTCTGCCCTTTCCTAGTGTTAACATGGGTACTAGTTATAGCACTGACTGCAACAGGTTCTGGAATTTTTCAGTTCCCCTAATTCCATCTAGACAGGCAGACAGGGCTCTGCTGGGGTATTGAAGTTTCCCTCTTGAAGGGAGTGGGGCCTACCTTGGTATCTCATAGCCAGAAAGTGCTTGACAAACGCTTCACTTTGGGGGAGCAGACGTCACCTCAGGTGTGGCCTGCTTTTTTGGTTCAGATTAAGAACAGCTGGGTCAATGAAAGGGTCAAGAAAAGAGGGGGAAAGCACACAAGGCCAGGGCCTTATGTCTGGTCACTTGGTATGTGCTTTTATAGCTCTGGATCTGATGGTGATGAGGGCCTTCTTCTGAGGGCAAGGACTGGAAGGAGTTATGGAAAGGCAGAACCTTGGAGGTGGCCTGAGGAGGTCCCTTGCTTCACCTCTGCTCTCCTCTTGATGCCCATTGATGTCCCAGAGAAGTAGCACACAGAGTTGTATTGCACAGTGTTTCTTTAATTGAAAGACAACTGATCTCAGAAGCTGCACTCCCTCCAGCTGGGTGCAACTGCTCACCAACCCCTACCACAGCAGGGACCCAGAGGTGAGGGAGAGGGACCTAGCCATATTGGGAGAGGGCATGAACCAATGCAAACTGGTTCTGGGGGCTCTGGTGGCTTGCTGAGCTTCTTCAGGGGCTAGGAAGCTTACTGCTCCTCATTTTGATAGCAGAGTACAGCCCCCTTCCTGGACAATATGGAAAGGATTCTGGGCCTCCACCTTCTAGCATCCTCCAGGGCTGGGGGTCAAGTGCTGGGCAGGGCAATCAGGGAGATAGTTGCCCCCAGATTTGTTTGTGCAGGGACTGGCCAGAGACCTATGAAGCAGAAAGCAGCCTAGGGAATGGCCAGTGTGTGTGTGTGTGTGTGTGTGTGTGTGTGTGTGTGTGTGAGAGAGAGAGAGAGAGAGAGAGAGAGAGGGAGGGAGTAGGAGAGGAGAGGGAGAGTTAGAAAGACACACAGAGATAGACAGACAGAAATATGCAGACAGAGATACAGATGGACAGGTAGTGAACTTGGGATCACCAAGGCCAAGGGCAGCAGGTATGGCCCAAGAGAGCTGGAAAACAGACATGGGTGAGGAAGAGAGGAATACATGTCTGGATGGAACAGTAGCTGTGCTACTGTGCTGTGTCCACACTTGCTGGCTCCTCCTAACGCAGATAGGGTGTCAGAATGGACAAGAAGGATTTATAGGGAGTCTTTGAGTGGATATGGTAGGGATTTTTTAAATCTCAAAAGCTGAGGGGAATGGATGAGAGGGCCAGGCCATGTGCATATGTGCATGCTTGGGAGCCAGGAGGAGGCTGTGATGGAACAAAATGTGTGTGTGTGGGTGGGGGGGCTTTGCTTCTTTGATTCCCCTTCCCCTGTGGAACATCTGGCTATGTTCCTCAGAGACTCTCACCAAGGCCACCATGGTGGCTACTACTGCTTTTACTTCTTATAATTTCCAAACTGGATGGCCAGGCGGTCAGTGACGCAGCGGAAGGTGGCTGGCTGCACTTCCCAGTAGGCCACAGGGTTGTTGAAGAGGCTGATGCCATTATAGTAGGCCCTCTTGACTCCAAAGCCCATGGGGCAGAAGTCGTTGATGCCCACCTTGGTGATATTGTTGGAGTGCAGATAGACCACCTAAGGGAAGAGAGGATGTGTCTGGGAGTTTTCATCAGGGCTCAGTGCCACAGACTACCCTTCCCAGTCTGTCCCAGCTGGGTAGAGGCTGTAGGTTGTAGGAAAGATGGAGAGCAGATGTAAGAGCGGTCAGGCCTGCCTCCACATTGGACTCCATCAGTGACTTCCTAGTGTTGTTTCATGGTCACTCTTTAATGGCCAGTTGGTGATATTTCCCACAACTGAGGACAATGACTGGAGTATGTTAGTGGGTGTTGGCTATGATTAGGGTCTTGATGTATGACTGACCCCAGGCCAGGATGAGGGGC